GGGGCTCTGTAGAGCCAGGCCAGCTCCCCCCTCTCCCTGCTGGTGTAGCCCAGCCCGGCTCCACAGACCCCTGTCAGCCTGCTTTGGGCCACCGGTGCTGGCCCTGGGACATTGATCCCAAGATGGTGACCAGGGGGCGGGGCACCCGTCAAGGGACGGGGCTACCCATGCAGCCCTCCACAGCCTGCCAAAACTGGGTAAGCAGCCCTCCGCCTGAAATAACTGCCCGCCCCAATCTAATCCCACCCAAAGCTTTGCCTAGCCAGGTCTTAAAAACCTCCGAGGATGGGGATTCCACCACCTCTCTGGCTAACCTGTTCCAGTGCTTTACTATCTCCTAGTGAAAGAGTTTTCCCCAAAATCTAACCTAATTTCGCATGCTGCAACTTGAAACCATTGCTTCTTGTTCTGTAACCTGCCACTGTGACAAACAGTCTACCTCCATCCTCTTTGGAACCCCACTTCAGGTAGTTGAAGGCTGATATTAAAATCTCCCCTCAATCTTCTCTTCTCCAGACTAAATCAGACCACTTCCCTCAACCTATCCTCCTATGTAAGGTGACCGTATGTCCCAGATTGGCTGGCACAGCCCCAGATTCCTGGTTGTTGGAGAAATTTGAAGCAAGAGTCCTGGACAGAATCAGGATCTGGGCACATGCGAGCAGGTTTGCATCAATCCAGGACTTCTGCTTCCATTTTCTCCAGGGAGCCCAGCCAATGGGCTGCTTCCTGATCAGGCTGTGAGCAAAGGCACCTGTGCAGTAGAGTTCGGGGGGTAGGATGAGGAGGAGCTGGGAGGGATGGGGGTGCGCAGCACATGCGTGCACATGCACACACTCCTAGAAGCTGTGGGGGAAGGAGGGCAAGTAGGGTGTGTCCACATGTGCTCTGGCACCCCCCACCCATCCCAGATTTCCCTCAAATTATTATGGTCACCCTACTCATAAATCATATGCTCCAGCTCCCTAAACATTTTGATTACCCTCTGCTGGACTCTCTCCAATTTGTCTATGTTAGGGGTGGGCAAAATGCAGCCCACGGGCCAGATGCAGCCCGCCAGCCCATTCTATCTGGCCCATGGGGCCCCTAAAAAGTTTAGAAAATAAATATTAATCTGCCCATGCCTGCCTGTCACGCGGCCCTGGATGACTTGCCAAAATTCAGTATGCAGCCCTCCGCCTGAAATAATTGTCTGCCCTGGTCTACATCCTGCCTGTAGTAGGGAACAGTTATTTCCCCCGATCTGCTGGCAACGCTTCTACTAATGCAGCCCAGTATGCCACTAGCCTTCTTGGCAACAAGGGCACACTGCTGGCTCATTATTGTCCATTTAAAAGCTTATTGCCCACTGTAACCCCCAGGTCCTTTTCTGGAGAGCAGCTGCTTAGACAGTCAGTCTCCAACCTGTACTGGTGCATTGGATTCATAGGTTCATAGATGCTAGGGTCAGAAGGGACTTCAACAGATTGAGTCCAACCCTTTGCCTAGGCAGGAAAGAGCGCTGAGGTCAGATGACCCCAGCCAGATGCCTATCTAGCCTTCTCTTAAAGGCCCCCAAGGTACGGGAGAGCACCGCCTCCCTTGAAAGTGGATTTCAAATTTTGGCCATCCTTACCACGAAGAAGTTTTACATGATATCTAGCCTAAATCTACTCTTTGTCAGTTAGTGACCATTATTCCTTGTTACCCCAAGAGGCACCCTGGTGAACAAAGCATCTCCGATCCCATGCTGCGTTCCCCTAACGAATTTGTAAGCAGCCACAAAAATCACCTCTCAGCCTTCTCTTGCAGAGGCTGAAGAGGTCCAGGTCCCTCAGTCTCTCCTCACAGGGCTTGTCCTGCAAGCCCCTGACCATATGAGTGGCCTTCCTCTGGACCCTCTCAAGTCTATCAACATCCTTCTTGAAGTACAGAGCCTATAACTGGACGCGGTACTCCAACAGCAGTCTGACCAATGCCGCACAGAGGAGAAGTATAACCTCCTTGGATCTATTTGTCAAGCATCTGCTGATGCATGATAAAGTACAGTTAGCTTTGCTGACGATTTCATCACACTAACAACTCATGTTCATCTTGGAGTCCACTATGACTCCGAGATCCCTTTCCACTTCTGTGCTGATGAGAGGGTCACTTCCCAGTCAGTAGATGTGCAGGATATTTTTGCACCCTAGGTGCAGCACTCTGCACTTGTCCTTGTTGTACTGCATCCTATTGTGTACTGCCCACTTTTCTAACATGCCCAGGTCTGCCTACAATCATTCCCTACCCTCCGGTGTGTTCACTTCGCCCCACAATTTAGTATCACCTGCAAACTTGGACAGAGTACACTTCACACCCACATCCAAGTCACTGATGAAGATATTGAAGAGTACAGGTCCAAGGACTGAACCCTGCGGGACCCCACTACCCACATCCTTCCAGGTCAATACCAACCTGTCTACCACCACTCTCTGGGTGCAACCACTAAGTCAATTTTCCATCCACCAGCACGTGTAAACATCTGTCACAGCCTCTTAATTTATTTATGAGAATAGGATGAGATACCGTATTGAAGGCCTTGCTAAAGTCCAAGAAAACAACATCCACTACTCCTGCATCTAAGCATTTTGTGACCCTGTCATAAAACGAAACCAGATTGGTCAGGCATGATCTACCAGCTACAAATCCATGCTGGTTTCCCTGCTGCATTATTTTTCCTGCTGGACTCCCACAAATATGATCCTTCATAATCTTTTCAAAGACCTTTCCAAGGATGGAGGCGAGACTGACCGGCCTATAATTACTCAGATCCTCCTTCCTCCCCTTCTTGAAAATAGGGACCAGATTGGCCCTTTTCCAGTCCTCTGGGACCCAAACCGAGCACCACAAGTGCTCAAACAGCCGTGCCAGTAGTTCTGCTATGACACCAGCTAATTCCTTCAGTACTCTCAGATGCAGCTCATCCGGGCCTGCTGACTTGAACACACCCAGTCCATCCAAGTGACTCTGCACCAAGTCAGCGTCAACAGTTGGTAGGCTGGTGTCCCGCTGATGCCCATCTAAGAACCCACTAGGAGACTTATCTTGAGCCCTGTTCAGGAACACAGAGGCAAAAAACTCATGGAACAGCTTGTCCCCCCCTCTCTGTCACTAATTGCTCCTCTTTGTTCAGTAGGTGTTCTATGCTGCCCTGTGCCTTCCTTTTACTTCCTACATACCTAAAAAAAAGACTTTTTATTGTCTTTAATTTGTGTTGGCCTGTTAGAAAGGCCTCAGCTCTGTAGTTGCTTTGGCCTTTCTAACTGCCTCCCTGCACGTGCTGGTCAAATAGGTATACTCCTCCTTGGTAGCTTTCCCCTGCTTCCACCACCTGTATGTCTTCTTTTTTGCCCTTAGGCTCCCCTGAATTTCCCTATTTAACCAAGGATTGTTCTGCCCTAAGTGCAGGACTTTGCAGTTCTCCTTACTGAACCTCGTAAGATTTCTTTTGAAATCATCCTCCAACGCCGAGGATGTGCTCAACATTTAAACACTGAACATTTAATGAAACTTCCTACAGAAAATGTAATAGTCTTAAAGAAAGATGCAATACTTTTAGCAATAAAAAAGATACTTATATTATAGCAGGCAGGACGGCTATTAAGATTTCCGTTCTGACCACTTTTAATAACCTGCAGTTTTAAAACTCTGACTTTTCAAACTGAAATTTTATAATTCTGTTCTCCAACTGACAACTAATATATTTTGTAACTTCTTTAGAGTAGGACACTGGTGCACACCCTTTTGCCCAGTGGGCCAGATGGCAGTGCCTGGCCAGGCCAGATCCAGCTGGTGGTCTTGATCTGGCACATGGGTGGGCATGGAAAAATCCCATTCAGCCACATGGACGAGGGCATGGGACAGCCCAGCCTCAACCTGGCCCCACAGGCAGCAAGGGGGTATGTGGAGAGGGAGTAAGGCACAGTGGAGGGGAGGAAGCGGAAACGGCCGAACCTGACTGCCCTGCCCTGATCCAGCCGCATGGTGGGGAAGCAGCTTGGAGTTTGAGAATTTGGCAGTGAGGGAGGGTGGCCGTATTAATTGCCACCACTCCCGATGCCAAAATTTCTGGCATCTGTGGAGCTCTGCAGGCCAGATGCCACGGCCGGCAGGCTGCAGACTGAGCACCCCTGGAGTAGGAGACTGAGAAAGTACTTATAAACTGCTAAACTACATACCAACCTCTCTCCTTCTGTAGGCTAAAGAATATTTAAAATATTTAAACAAAATGGAATATCGCCAACAGGAGAAACTAAGACATCCCCATCCAGTTCTACATGACTTGGAGCCAACACTTGACCCTGGGTCTTCCCCTTCCTAACTGAATATTTCGCTCTCATGACATTCTGTCCTGTGCCCGAGAAAATGTCCCAATGAAACTGTCATCAAAATTTGACCTTTCCTCCCTAAAATTCAACTAAACCAATCCATCAAAAAAATTCCCAACTAATTTTACGTCCAAGTATGGTTTACCTTCTATTTGACACAAGCAGACCAGTCCAATTCTAGTTTGTCTGGTTTACCAAGTAACAAACTATATTAGGGCCAAGCCCTTTGGTCATAGCCACTTTCCACTCCTTTGTTGGTGCAGTCTGAGCATCACAGCACTATATAGGACTCTCAAAGGATCACCCCATAAAGGTTTCTATACTATCCCCAGTATCAATGCCAGCAAAGGTGGCACTGCCAGAAGGGATATAACCAAGATGCCCCTAAACTGCACAGAAAATTTAGCCCCTTCAGACTATTAAAGCAGCTCTCATAGTAGAATAGCAGTAGTGGCTCCAGGGTCAGAAGCACAAAAGTGATATTTGCTACTTTTGCACTCCATCTTCCCTTCCACTTGCACCTTCTGTTCGTAGAAAACAGTTGTACAAGTAGTTTTAGATTAATAATTTAAATTAAAAATTAACAGTTTACTTTGATGCTTCATAACAGGAAATTAAACTACTCTAATAACAGAGCATGCGGCTTATACTCATTCACAAGTATTTTACATGCTTAATGTGCAATCCAGTCCAATGCTCAACCCCAGGCCTTGACTCTGGATTCAACTGCCTGCTCCATCACAAACTAGTATGTCCATGCTGCTCTACATTAGTGGCTCTCAAACGTTATAGACTCATGACACTGCTTCAAAAGCAATGGCTCATTTTTTGACTACAGTAAAACAACTGAGCAAGTCTTCTGTTGCAAAGAACTCAGAAACCCCATAGCAGGGCCGAATGTTTGTGACACTATGGATTCTCATTCAAAATTTTTGGGTTTAGCTTATGACTTGTGTGTGGGTGTCTGCAAACCTAACAGTGATGTGGCACCCCACAGCTCCCTTGAAATGCTGCCCAGGGCGCTGCTGCAGAAACCTGGCAGAGAATCACCGCTCTACACTCAGATTTTGTTACTGGAGTTGTAACCATAAAAACTGCTAGTGTCCGCTCCTGAAAAGCACTACGTAGCAACTGAGCTTGCTAAAAAGCTACTAATTACTAATTAAAGCTAAGCAAAGCAGCTGCAAGTTTGGTCATAGTAGAAACTTTATCCAGGGCAGTGAGACGTTCAGAAAGAGAAGAAGTAGAACAGAAAAAGTACGCCAGTCTGGGTATGTTGGATGTTTGTGCCTGAAAGCTTGCAAAGAATTTTTCCAACTAGTTGGTCTAATAATAGATACCATATCTACTCAAAGAGCCTTGTCTGCCTATGTCCTTAGACCAGGGATGGGAAACGTTCAGCCCATGGGCCTAATCCAGTCAGCCGGGGGCTCCATTTCCAGTTGCCCCTGCCCGCATGGCTTGTGCCAGTCTCCATGGAAACGCCAGCCTCAGCCGTGCCAGAGGGCTGCTCCGGAACTGCTGGGAACATGGGATGGGGGCGGCTTGTTCCAGAGCCGCACCCTGTAGCCTGCATGCTTGGGGCAAGGGCGCGCATGCAGAGGATCGTGGCTCTGCCCCAGCTCCTTGCAGCAGTGACAGCCTGTCTATAGCCGGGGCAGAGCCATGATCCCCTGCATGCCTGGCCCTGCCTGGAGTGTGCAGGCTACAAACCGCAGCTCTGGAGCAAGCTGCCCCTGTCCCACGTTCCCAGCAGCTCCGGAGCAGCTGCATGCACTGCTGCTGTGCGTGCTGCCGGCACAGCTGAGGTCTCCATGGAGACCAGCACAAGCCAGGTGGGTAGGGGCAGCTGGGAAATGGAGTCCCTGGCCAACAGGCGCCCAGAGGTTCTCCATCCCTGCCTTAGGCCAGCACAGCTACAACCAACAACCCTTTAAACATACAGGGTTTTGAAAAAAAACATACCCAATAGCAAGGACTCAATTATGCCAATCACCTATAAAGAACCAGTAACAGAGTAAATAGGGTAAAAATAAAGAATGCGTAAGTAACAAAAATCATTTAAAAAGTTGGGGAACAAAGGGGTGTTGGACTACCAGACAGCAGCCCTGAACGTCCCGACGAGACCCCGGACTGTCTGATCATTGGAACAGGGAGCCAGACTTGCCGCAAGGTAATCAGGTACGGAAGTGATGCCTGCTGAATACATCGACATTTGTGCAAGAGAAACGCCTGCCTCTGGAGCAGGGGTTCCCATTCCCCAGCCGTGGAGGGGAGCCTGCCAGTCTGCAGGAGAACTGGCTGCTGGACCAGAAATGACCGAGTATAAACAAGGGCTGGCTGCCTGCCTGCCTGCAGTATGCTGGTCACTGCCGGTCCTCAAAGTAAAAAGGCTGGGAACCCCCACCCTGGAGCGCTCTCTCTCTCTCAACAACCCGCTGGTTCCCCAATCCAAGGCCTTAAAGTACCAGAGCGAGGATCTTAGGGAAGAGAACGCCTTGTACTAGGCCCGGGAGAAGCCGAGGGCCACGGGACGGTCGGGACAGGGCACGTGCGCGCTCCGCCACCTCAGGAGGCCGGAGCCGCCCTGCCCCATGCGTCCCCAGAGCGAGGAGACCCCGCCTCGCGCAGGCTCCAACGGCCGCTGGAACAGCTCCCCCCACCAGTTCTCTACAGCGTCGGGGGGGGGGGGCGGGCCGGGCGCAGCGCATGCGCAGCGCTCCCCGCCGGCCGCAGGAGACCCCACGCTCTCTCCACCGGCCGGTAAGCGCCCGCCCCTCCCCCGCCTGCGGGGCGTTCCCAGGCCCGCGCGCGCCCTCGGGCTGCCCCGGGGACTTGCTGAGGGATCCAGGCCTCCCCAGGGCTGAGCCCCGCCCACGACTCGGCAGTGGGACTGACCTAGGTAGAGCACGACGGGGATAAAGCCCCAGCGGATGGCGAATTGGCCGCCCTTGAAAAGCTGCTGCAGCCGCTGCCTGGCCCCCTTTCTCCGCCTCGGC